ATATAGTATAGTATATATAGTAGTAGTAGTGTGTGTGTGTGTGTGTGTGTGTGTGTGTGTGTGTGTGTGTGTGTGTGTGTGTGTGTGTGTGTGTGTGTGTGTGGTGTTTACCTGATATTCCTCGGGATACATTTAGTTAATATTGTTTCCATTTGGAGTGAGACATGCTTTATTGGTTCAAGGGGCAAAATGGTCTCTATAACATATTAAACAAAGCACATATACAATTAGATGTAATAAGGAAACAAGCATAGTAAGAATAAGTCACTTTATATAAGTAAGTGAACATATGGAAGTAGTGAAGTAGCAGCCAGTCATGTAAAACAACTGTATATTTCACAGAAGCATTTAATTTCTTTAATTGACTTTAGTCATTTCAATTATTAATTGACTTTGTTTGTCCATAAATGTACTTTGCTCAGAATTCAAAACATATTTCTTACAGACAGTGAGGTCAAACAAAACAAACAAACATACAGTACCTTTGGATTTAATGCAAATAAGGAGATTGTTGTAAGTAGTTTCAAAAAAAGAAAATGTCACTTTACTGAAACCCATACATCATGTAGTATATCTCTGCAAACTTCGCAGTGGTCTCCTCATTTTTTCCGAAGCTGTGTATGCGTGTAGTTCACCAGGCATACTGTATAAGCTTCAATAACAAAGAAGGGGACGGGTCAGATAACAGAACAAATAAAGAAGAGACGAAGAGGAAACGTTTCTCTGCAACATCTGCAGGGTGTGTGTGTGTGTGTGTGTGTGTGTGTGTGTGGCGTGCGGCGTGCAAAACACATCTGGTGCTGAGGGTCANGTGTAGAACAGAGAGTGAATACACATACTATACAGAGATGCTGTATGAGAAACCAATGTGAGTTTGGAACATTGAACAATGTAAATCTATTCTAGTAGACCTCAACAATGGAATAATGATCAGTAGAAATGGCCATGTCATGTGACCTTTAAGAAAATTGTGGAACACATGAATGAGATACTACAGAAGTGAGGAAAGGAAAAAACTCAAAGTGAGTGGGAACTGTGTGAGTATGATGGTTCCTGAGAGGGTCAGATGACTCATGGTTGAAGGTCAATGGTTCGCAGAGTAGAGAGGATCACCCAACATAAAAAAGTAGTACCTAATAGTAGTAGTATTAGTAAAAGGATGGGGGGGTCGACAGGAGAGAATCGCCTGACGTATAAAAAACACAACACAAGGATAGGAGGGTGGTGGAGAGAGGGACGCCCGTCATCAGAAAGCAGAAGGAAAGGAGAGGGAGCTGAGGTTCG